CACGTTGGCGATCCGCGTGAGTGCGATCCGACGGCCCAGATCAATCACGCGATCGGACGGCCCAGATTCAATCAAAAACGAACGGCCCAGATTAAAACAAAATGAACGGCTGTGATCAAAAGGCAAGGGGTTATAAATAGAACCTCCACACCAGACCACAAACCCTAGCCGCCAGCCGCTCGCCGGAGAAGACGAACCAGAGGCCGACCGCCGCCACCCGCCGCCACTCGCCGCCGCACCGGGGAAATTTCCGACCGCCGATCGAGGTAAATTTCATACCCCCGACTCGTTTTTCCCCACTGATTCCTCCTATGGCCAAATCGAAGCCGAAATCCCGGCCAAACGGCCGGAATACGCGGCCGAAGCCCAGCGGCACCGCCGCGCCCCCTCTCGGTTTTTGCCTCCGACGAGGCCCTTCCCGGCCTCCGTTCGATGCAATTTTTATATCACCGTGATCACCATTCTTTTCTCTACAGGTTGACCGAAGCCAAATCACCAAAACACGAACTTCGCCGGAGAGTCGCCGTACCCGAGAGCGCCGCCGCCGGTAAGCTCCGTTTTTCCGTGATTTTTTGGCCCCCCGAGGGCCCTAGGGTTGTTTTCTGACAAGGACCAATGCGAGTGTGGCCGAATTCGGCCAAAAACGGCCGAAAACAGTCAACCCGAGGCGACTCGCCGCCGCCAGCGGCGGCGCCGTCGCCGGAGCACGGCGGAGCCGCCGTGCCGGAGTTGCGATTTGGGCCGAAAGAGGCCCTGGGCCTAATTTGGATTTTTTTTTTGGAACCCGTGCAGGTACTGTTAGCGTGTTTCAGTTCCCCGGGAAAAATTCAGGGGAAAATTAGGGACAGCCTGCAGGCGCACTGTGAATCGTATTCGGATCCCGAAAACAAGTAAGGACCCCTCACCTTATTTCCTATCACGGTATTAAAGTTCAAAATGATAAAACGGTATTTCTTGAATTAACGCATGTGTGAAATTGCTTAAGGTTGCTAATGGAGCCCGAGTCTAGTGTGATTGATGATTTACTGTTATTTGGCCTGTTTACAGCTTTAAATGCAAAATGAGGTTTGATGTGTTCATTTTACAGATTTGTGTGCATGTACTACGTTTTTATTAATTATGGGTTGAATGACTGAAAAACTGATACTGTATGTTGTCTGTTTGGTATGAATTACGATTTGCTTGTTTAAATGTGAATTGATGATGCTGATTGAGGAAAAGGAAAAAATGAAAGATTGTGTAAACTGATAATTGTATTATGGGGGTCAGCCTGACTAGATATCCTAGGAGATGGTGGACGGACCGGGTCCGTAGGGAACCCTACCGGGATTGTGGTCTCACATGCCGGACGGGGTATGGAGATCTTATGGTTTTGGCGCCCATACCGGACGGGGTATGGGGACGGCCCGTTTCACCCTCATACCGGACGGGGTATTGAGGTTTATGGTTTTGGCGCCCATACCGGACGGGGTATGGGGACGGCCCGTTTCACCCTCATACCGGACGGGGTATTGGGGTTCATGGTTTTGGCGCCCATACCGGACGGGGTATGGGGACGGCCCTGGAAACTGATTATGAATGTTAAAGGTTAACGGGTAGCGGAACCCCTATGGACCCCCACGGATACTAGTAGGCTGGTAAATGAGAAAAAGATATGTTGTACAATGATTGAATTACAAGAGGCGTGATAAGTGTTATGTTTTACAGCTTAGATTATTCAATGATTATGATAATGTTATTGTTTTTCTCATATTGTTTTCATAAATTCCACCAAGGTAAGTGGATGGTCAAAGTTTTATTATTGATAAAAGGTTTTGTTGTTAATAAACGAGTTTATCGTAAATTATGCTCCATTGGTCTTTTTGTGGTTTTTTACCCACCTTTATCTCCGTGACGGTGAGATATCGTGATGTTCTTACTGGGCTAGTGTAGCTCACTCCTTAATTAACCATTTCATATCAGGAAGACATGGTTCCCGAGCCCGTTCCGCAGGAGGACGACGAAGGGGATGCCTAGAGACTCTGTAGTCATACGCATAGTTTTATTTTCGAGTTTCTTTCTTAGTTAGTTTAATCTTTTATATTTTAAGTACGTTTTTGGTTTTTCGTGTAAGGGATGTTAAATGAAATTTTGATCTCGCTTCCGCATTCGATATATTTAAATACTCATTTCATTTTAATATTTTCCGGGGCCGTTACATTAAAGATGGATCAAGAGAGACTAAATCAATAATTTTTTTTTTTTCAAAACATAAAGACTAATTCAATCAAAAATTGGGGTTGAGAACTAATCTAAATACATTAACAAAATCAAATCATTTTTTTTTTTAAATCTAACATTAAGTGTAATTAATTTGGGTGGTTAAAAATATCAGGGGGGTTGATGCCAGTTGGCGTTGGTGAATAACCATGCTTTCATGCACCACAAGTCTACAACAACTATGAAATATTGAATGTAACACCAACAAGATTAAACACAAATTGATTAAATTACGTTGATTGATTTATAATATTTAATTATTGATAATTTATTTTATTAATATATTAGTAGAATTATAATAATTAAATTGTCTTAAGTAATAAATATTTTATGATGATTAATTTTTTTTTTAATTTAAGTAATCACAATAGATTAAAATTTTAATTTTATCTTTTAATTTAAAAAAAAAAAATTGTGCTGATGTTATATAAGTTGTCAATATGCCATGTCCAGCTAATCACCACGGAATATTGGTAATTATAAAATAAAGAAATTTAATTACATTGGGAAATTAATTAATTTACACATAGCTACCTTATCTAATATTTATTATATAATCAATAAGGTTGGTTTAATTGGTGGCTTCTTTTGACTAATGAAACCATGATGGGAGTATTATAAATATATATATATATATATGTATGTATGTATGTTATTATTATATAATTGCAATTATAAATTAATTAACATTAGAGCATGAAGGTTGCTTTCGTGATATAAAGCTAAACATAATCAAACACCATTTGCCCTTAATTAGAGCCTGACCTAAATATAAATCAAGAGTCGATTGATTACACATGAATTTTTAAATATTTGAAACTAAATTAATTTAGTTTACGATCTTTAAAACAGTCAATTTAGTATTTAATTGACAATTTAAATCGTAAATTAATCTAAAATTTGTGGATTTGAGAAAAGATTAGGCCTTAATCAAAGCTTATATTATTATAAAATAGATTGTGTAAGTCTCATAATTTTGGTTTTATTAGAGTGATTGAGACCCAAAATGGGTTATGTTAAAAGAATCCGCCCCTCACCCACGCTCTTCTTTTACAAAATTATATCCTCCTTTGTCAACTCACTTAAATAACTCAAAATATTAATTTAAATTTAATTGTATTTTGTTTATATTATTTTTTTTAAAAAAATTAAATAATTATGTCTAATGTGTAAATAAAAAATTTATTTTTATATTATGTAATTAAATAATTAATATTTATAAAAAAGTATAGATTTAAATCAAATAATTCTTCATATGTATAATGTATTTAAAATGATTTATATTATATATATAATTTTATAAATGAATCTACCAATGGGCCTGTGGCCTATACACATGCACAAGGAGTATCTAAAAAGCCTAACTTTTTTTTTTTTTTTTTTTTGAGGGCACAAAAGCATAACTTTTTGGGTGTGATTAGTCGCCAATTCTTCCTTTTTTTAATAATAATAATAATTATTATTATTTAAAACAAATGCGACCGTTTAAAGAGGCTTAATTCCACTTTATTATTATTATTTTTTTTTTAAAAAGAAAAGTTTAATATTACTTTTTAAAATAATTATTATGAAAAATAAAAAAAATGGTAGGGTGGGAAAGGACAACTTTCCGTGAACACTATCATCATGGAAGCACTTTTTTCAAGATGCATAGGTACAATACAATTGATCACTTGGTCAAATTTTTCTAAATTGGCCCCACCTACAAAATCTTAATTTAATTTTAATATCATGATTATCATAATTAAAAATAAGGGTACTAATTTCATTAAATGGGTATTTTAAAAATAAAAAAAAATTAAATTAAATAAATTTTTTTATGTAAATTAAATTGTTCTTTTGGTTCAATTTTTAGAGTCTAATCAAATTAATCCGATAATCTAAGTTAAAACATATCATTAAGTGTTAATTATGATTTACAAATCATGTGGTTGGTGTTTTGATGAGTAACCGAGCATCGAGTATGTAAATATTTAAAAAAAAAAAAAATTCATTACATAATGTAAATTAATAATTGACAGAAGAAGAAGAAGCACTATGTGGGATGATTATAAAGTTCTTTTTTTTAATCAATGCCTTTACCCTTTCTATTACTATTTTTTCAACATTTTATCACTACTCGAATCTTATCTTATCTCGAGTAAAAGATTTTCAATATTAAATTACAATTTTATTATTTAATTCTCTCATCTTTACATACAATTTTCTTTTTTTAAAAAAAAATAATAATAATAATCATAAATACAAAATACCCAAAACGTAACATAAAATAATAACAATCATAATTGCATCCTAAACCATATCATATACATATAACATAAAATCAAAAGGAAAAAAAAAAAAAAGGGTAATTAGGGATATTATACTAAAATTAGTTAAATCGAATTGCTGAATTTTTTACATTGAACAACTTCTTCTTTTCATAATTTTCTCCGATTCAACTCGGGATGACTCGGATACCGGAAAAAAAAAACACCCACCATTTGCCATCTCCTTCAAAATCCAACTATATGATTCAACGTTAAAAAGTTCGGATCTTTTCTCATCTTTTTAACGCCAAAAAGAAGTTGGAAATTTAAAAAAAAAAAAAAAAAAAAAAAAAAAAAATCTGCTAAAATAAAAATTTGTTAGCAAGCACCATGAACTCAACTCACTGACTCGGTTGAATCTACCCGACACGTTCGATTAACATACTGACTTATCGGCGAATCCATAAAGCAAGGGTCGAGATTCATTGAGAAGATCGAGTTTGTTCTTCACATCGACGTGACAACATCGCTGAAAGTCTTCGAGACTGAATGAACGGCCCGATTTGGTCGGGTCAGATCGGGATACGACTCGGACGATCTCCTCGAAGAGTGACTCGTCGCAGGGGATAGTGAGCGGCCCTACGTTGGCGAATCCGTATTCCTCCTCGGCGCGTACAAGGAGGCGCTTGAAGATCGGGTGGTTCAGGTGCGTCGCAGGAACGATGAACCTCCGGCAACTGGAGCCAACGCAGACCGCGAGGTGTCCGGCGGGGACATCGGAAGGCGTTCCACGCGCCGCCGTGGTGTGAGCCTTTCTGCGCCAGCGTTTCAGCATTTGCCGGATGCGAACAATGTGACGGATCTTCTGGGAGTTCGCTGTCTCGGTCGCCGGCATTCTGTTTGGTTCGAGGGAAAGTGATGGGAAGTTGAGTGGAAACGGAGCGGCGGTTGGTTTGGTCTGGTGGATGGCTGCTGAGAGAGAGAATTATATATAAATATTTTTTGAAAGTTTTGATTTTGAGGGGAATATTGCTGGGAGTTTGGGTATTATAAGGTTTTTTTTTTTGTTACGGAAATGCCCTTGAAGTTTTAGATATTTACGAGATTGTGTCTGTTGTATTTGATGCGGTCACGTACATGTGACCAAACAAGGCTGTGACAGTAACGTGCGTCTTCAAACCTTCTGTTTTTATTTATTTAATAAAATCATTAATTGATTTGCAAATTAATATATGCTTTTTTATTAAATTAATCTATAAAAATGTTATCTTAATATTTTTTTTTTAAAAAAAAAATCAGTCTCCTTGTATGAATTTACGAAAAATATAATTGTTATAATAAATTTATTTTTAAAATAATAATTATCAATAAAATTAAGTAATTTACATAAGAAAAATATTTTAGAAAAAACAAATACAATGAATCGTGTAAAATTTGTTTATTTCAAAATATGATATTTATAAATATTTTTTTTTTCCTTTAATGTCATGTCATGAGATTTTGCTTGCAAAATCCTCTCTTTTAACAGCTGATATCCATTACAGCTACCAATTTGCTTAACTTTTTTTTTTTTTCCCCAATTCAGTATTTTCTTTAATCTTGTGGAATAAAAAATAAAATTTACCTACAATAATATATTTATAATCCTAAATTTAACATGAGATTACAAATTACAACAATTACTGGAAATGACCAAACCCATAAGTACATATATTATTTCTTATATTAATTCAAATTATTACGATAAATTTCATCTATAAACTTACTATAAATAAGTGTCTACTCTGAATGTTTTGAATAAATTATAATTTAATATAATATTGTGTCTATTAATTTATTAGTTTATAGTTCTTTTTTAATTAAAAAAATATTATCATGTGTTTTTATTTTGTTGTAATTATTTTAATTAATGAAACGTAACTGTCACATAATGTATAGTTCGTTCGGATGCATCATAATTTAATAATATTAAATTTAATTTAATCACTGTAATTATATTAATATATTATTAAGTTGAGTTTTTAATATCAATAAATTTTACCAATATATTATATATTAGTACTTATAATATATTTATAAAGTGACAAACTTTATATTTTAAATAAAATTCGAACGTGTGATTATCATGTTACTGGTTATATTAATTTGGAGTTGTTAAGTTACGATTAATTTTCTTATTTTTTTAAAAAAAAATTTTAATATCATAAGACATATTTAATATAACATAATAATAATGTGGATATACAAATGATTTGTTTAGATTCTGTTTGTCTACAAATGCAAAATCCAATGCGATATGAAAATCAACTGCCTTTTGTTTGCTTGCTCTTAATCCTCCCTAAATAGATCCTTAATTTGACCTTTAATCAAGGCACGTATAAGGGAGACCAGCACGCTAATTACCAATCATCCTATTCTAATTACTTTTACCTACCATAGACAATCATAATTTGTTTAAAAAAAATTTATAAATTTATATACTTCAATAATTATATATAATATATATATATCAACTATCAATGTAATAAATAATTAGTAGATAAATATATTATTTGTTTCATATCATAAATTAAATTTTTTTATTAATTTCATAATTAGTTAGTTTAATTAAAACGACCCACCCAAATGAAAATAACATGAAAGTTTAAAAATTAGAAGATGTAATTAAGCTTAATTTGGCAGCTATTAGTCACTAATGTTTTTTTTTTTTTTGTTTCTTTTTGCAAATGGGCAACTAGTCAATGTGTTTCGTGTTAATTATATGGGTGAACAAAAATGATTAGTTTGGAGAAAGTTATAGATTAATCGAGACAATGACACACACACACACATATATATATATATATGTATGTACACTGAATATGTAATATATATGTATATATATATATATATGTAGATGTTATATTTTTGTAATTTTGTTTACGAATGGTGGGTTGATGTGTTGTTTACTTCTACTGCCATGATCTCTTGTCTCCCACACTTTTTTTTAATCTTGATTAATTTGGTTAATAATGCAAGATTTAGAGAATATATGCTGGGACCTGCTTGTAAACTTGATTAGAAATGGGTCCATTCTCATTTTCATATTTAATATATATATATATATACATACATACATATTTATATATACACTTTTTTCCATCACGAAGTACATAAACTAGTCCTTTTTTCCCCCACGGATGAATCAAATGAAACTTTATACTGTTCGATATCAATCATACATATATATATATATTCGATTACATCATATCAAATTATCAATTTAGTTTCCAAAATTTGTCATTTATTTTGATTTATTTTAATAAATTGTCCGTCATAATTTAATATATTACATTTTTTATTCATTCTAAACGTTAAATTTCTTTTATTTTTTAATAAAAAATATTTGAGTGCATTCAAAAATATATCTCAAAACTGAATTTAACAAATTAATTAAATTTAATAAATTAACAAAAATATCGAGTGTATTTTATTAGTAGTTTAGTTAATTAACAAAAATTATTATTTTTTAAATACCCATCAGTAAATTAAAAAAAGAGAAAATAAATAAATAAACATTTTTAGTAATATTAGAAATTAAAATTTAACGAGTAATAAATTTTATATACTAATTTAATAATTTATAGTAAATATAAACATCATAAAAAAGAAAAAATTATATTAAAAAAAGTTATTGGGTCATATTATTAATTTAATTTATTTTTTAAAAAAGATAAATCTAATTTTATTTAATTTAATATTTTTGTAAGTGGCAACCGTACTAACCAACATGATGTCTATTTTTGGGAACAAAAGCAACCTACTTGATCAACCATCATAACCATAACGTACAATTGCTTGCAGTCTGTAATAATAATGCTTTCCCTCTCTTTAATTTTAAGACTAATTTGCTGTTAATCTGCCGTTTTCATTTATAATAATCATGTTTTATTTTCATAATTACATTTTCTAATTAACAATTTTTATAATTTAATATTTTAATTTTAATATTTTAATTTTTTTTTTTAAAAGGACCCAATCATATGGTTATTTAAAACGTCAACAATTTCAATTTTCCATTTTAATTTTTGGTGGGTGTATATAATTAATAAAATTGAAAATTGGTCAAATAAAAATAAAATAAATAAATAAATAAATAAAAGTGGGAGTTGAATTTAGGATGTCCATTCCAATTTGGTCCGTGTTTGGGTACAGGGATAGCGAGGAGACAGTGACTGCACAATTCACAAAATTAGAGCATGTGGGTAGGGTTTCATTACTATCCGCAGTTAACGCTTGACTAATAATAATCGTGTTTGGGAAACTGCACATGCTATATATCTATCCTACGCTACATTACATATATTGCCCTGTATATACGTCTATCGACCTCTTTTATTTTCTTCCATATAATCTATATTTTTAAATTAAAATATACTTTTATTCAATAACAATAAAAAAAATATAATTTAATTCGAATTTATAATTTTTATAAATAAAAAAAAAATTGGTCACTAGAAAACATATATAAAAAATAAAATTTACCATTTAAATATCATGTATACATATATATAAAGGGTTGTTTTTTATTTTATTGTCCTAACTGGAAAAAAAAAAAAGAAAAAAAGAAACGACGTCATTTTGAGATGGACGGGCAGGAAGATAGGAAAGAAAAGAAAAGAAAAGAGAAAAAAAGAAAAGGGAGGAAAGGAAAGAAAAAAGAGAGGAGAGATTAGGGGAAACAAAAGGTTCGAGAGAGAGAGAAGAGCCGGAGTGGAGAGGAGCGAGAAAAGAGAGAGAGAGAGGAGGAGACAGAGGACGGGGATAGAGCAAGCTAAGGGAAGGAGGAAAATGGAGACGGGAAGCCGAGAGGAGCGAGAAGAGAGAGAGAGAGGAGGAGACAAAGGACGGTGACAGAGCAAGCCAAGGGAAAGAGGAAAATGGAGACGAGAGTACAGTAAACTTTAAGTTTCATGCGTTGGTTGATGTAAATTTGAAATTTTGACCGTAGGTGGAGGATTTTGTGTGAGTAAGAGTGGAGGAGAGTGGGAGG